AGCAAATCGATGAATAATGGGAGGACAATGCTACAGTGCTACAGTGCCTATGCAGAACCAGAGAGCACCACGTTGGTTCTCCCGGACAATGAGACCCCCTTCTCCCACGCAGCCCCTTGATCCAAATTCCAGAGAACGTGTCGTAAGCCTTGGGGCCTCCTTGGAGCCCTGCGTGATGGAGTCTCGGAGCTCCAGCTCCTCCCAGCACTCCTGCTGGCCTTGGCACCTCCCCAAATGCCAGGCGCTCTGCCCGCGGCCAGGCTTTCTGCCTTTCTTGGGCTTTCTGCAAAGCCTGTGCTTTGCCTACGGAACCATCGACCCCAAGCCCAGGATCCAGCCAAAGTCTGGATGGGAGCACGCTGGCATCTGTTCCTGCCCTCAGAGAGTTTGGTCTTGGGGGTCTCATTCCCATAAACCTTCTAGGGGTGGCAGTTCGTGGTCTCCCCCTCCCCCACAAATTACGAGACTTTAACTTCTGAATCTAAAGGGTGTTGGGAAACGGCAGGGCCTTGTGGGGGTGATGCACTGATGAGGGTGGAGCCTCAGGTCTACTCTAGCATCCTAATAAAGAGACAGGAGAGAAATTGCCTGTGTCACCCACCCATGGAGGAAGTGACCGGTTAGACGCTCAACAGGACCATCCCCCATGCTGGTCCCCGACTTCCAGTCTCCAAGGCACAGAAGACATATTTTTCTTTTAAGCCCCCCTCGTAGGAGAGGCTGGTGCTTGTCGGCACACCCCACAGCAAGTAGAACTTCAACGGAGAGGACCCCAGCCAGCAGAGCTCAGAGCTCACTCCTGATGGTACCCAGTGAGGGGCTGGACGGGGACCGGCCACAGGCCCTGCGCTATCTCAGGGGCTCCATGAGACGATTCTTTACTCTTGTGTTTTACAGAAACACCAGTCCAGGATTGAAACACACACATGACCGTCATCTCAAATCCATCTCATCCAGCCTTCCAGCCCTAAGAAGCGCATACTGGAAGATTCGTCTCAAGCCCCAGGCCTGAGAGCCCTCTGCTCTTCGTGTGTTAAAGTGGAACTGATGGAACCGAGAGCCCTGTGGTCGACCGGGTGGGGACAGAGACAAACTGGGAAGAGAGCGGAGAACCGATTCGGGACACATTGCATCACAAAAACACAAGTTTGTTTATTTTTTTTTTATATCGAGCACAAGATTCTGCTGAACTCTTAGCAAAATCAATTGATACTTTGATTCAGCTTTGCTTTCTGGAAAAAAAACAAACAACAATCCGTCTTGTGTCCTGTCATTCGGAGAATTTAAAGGCGGAAAACCAGCCAGGCTGCTTAATCCCATCCGCCTTAGTTCGTGAAACCCAGGATCTGGGCAACCAGAGTTAAAGCAATCCCCTGCAATCCTCAGCCCCACAAAGACACTTTCCTGCCTACCCGGGGCCTCTTTCCAGTCAGGGAAAGTTGGCCTGAAAGCACCAGCTTAATTGGCGGTCTTTCTACACCTCTCGGCGCCTGTCACGGCAGAGAGAGTGTGATCCAGCGAAAGCATATGGTTTTGCTGCATCTCCCTGCATCTCTGCTCAGGCACACTCCAAATGAAGTTAAAATTACATAAGAAATTGAATTGCCATTTCTCTTCTGTCACTCGGTCTTTGGGACCCGATGCAAAAAAAAAAAAACCCACGTTTTATTCAGCCACCCCTCGAGTCCTTCAAATCTGTGCTTAACTGATTTCAAGTAATCACCCATTCATTAGTACCTGCTCCGCTCCAAATGACATCACTCAAAGTTCATGTTCCCTCTAAGAATTTTTTCACTGTACTGCTTAGGTCAGCAGAGGTTTGCCCCGCTGGCTGGCTCTGTCAACCCCAGGTCACTGCCACGGGTGATTTAGAAACTATGTCTTTTCTATTCCCTCACCCAAGATTCCCGAGGGGTCCCTCCCCTTGCCTCTCTGCGCCAAGAGGTGCTACTCGTTGCTTCTCCCTGTCTCGAAAGGTCAACTGCGGACGGCGGCAGCTTCTGGTTCTGGGGGAAGGCCAGATTCGTGGGTTTACAGGTTTGACCTTGAGTGACCTCAGCGGTGCTCATGCCCGAGTCCATCTTCTCCCAGGGAGCACTGTCTGATGAGAGACAGGAAGACACAACCTGGCGTACTCCTGGGGGGCTGATTTGTCACTTCCAACCCCCACCATGAAACCGAAGGGCGTGGAAGGACTCTTCCCAGAGAGCCCTGAGTCGGAGTCCTTCGTACACCCACTGCTGCTCTGGGCTTCATGGCACACGAACCCCTGCCCGCTCTCAAACCAAGTCCCTTGGCAAAGAAACTTCTGACAGACACCTCCGTGAGACAAACCAGGACTGACCCCGAGACTGTGTGGCCACTTTAGGTGGGAGCCTCGGGGGATGGGGTGGGGGGGACAGACAAGGTCCGTGGTCGGGGTTCCCGAGGGTGGACGAGGGGACCTGCCTTTGGCTCGTGCAGTGGAAGGTTCCAGGCACATGTGACATCCCTGTCCTCCTGAAATGGAAACGAGACGCCCCCACCCGCCACCTCCACGCTCTCACATTTCGCCCTAAATTTGGCCGTTTCCTCGTCTTGCTCCGTGCGAGCTGCTCTTTCCCAACACAGTTCCCTCCCTGCTCCCCCCCCCCCAAAGAAAAACAAAACACAGTCAGGGACCCCTGCGTCAGGAAGTCGCCTTCTGAATGGCAGAGGCAAGTGGGGCGCCCCTCCCTCCTCTTGCAGCCCTGGAGACCCAAGGACAGAGGCCCTCCTGGGAGCTCAGAGCCTGGGAAACCCCCCCCCCCCAACACACACACTGGGCCCTGAAGCTGGAGGGAGGCTTGGCCCAGGCTCCAGCTGGCGCTCCACTCTCGCCTGAGTGCTCGGAGCCCCGGAGACTCGGGGAGCATCTCCCGGGCAGGAGCAGGGCGTGGGGTGCACAGAGAAACCTGCTTGGGCTCCCCACCCTGAAGGGAAAGGTGCTCCTGGGCGCTTCATTCAAGGCTTCCTGAGGGTTGAAGTTCCACTGGAAGGGCAGGTGTGGCCTGGGAAGAGCTGAGGAGCGTGGGGACTGCAAGGGGCCAAGGGGCTCCCACACTGGGCAGAGCGCGGGGCCGCCATTCTCTGGTGAGGGGTGAGAAGCTGCAGAGAAGGAGATAGGAGGGGGTCTGTACGGACATCGGAGCAAGACAGGCACGGTGGGGGTTTAGCCAGGGGAAACGGCTGAGTCTCCACATTTGCCCCGTTGCCAAGCGTCTGACGGAACCCTGGGCTGGGGGAGGAGAGGGGAGGGGAGCACACAGGATGCCCGGTGATGCCCTCAACAGAAACAGGCTGAGGGGGGGACCCAGGGTAAAGTGGGCGTGCCCAGCTGGGCCCCCAGGGCTCAGCGCAGATGAAGCTGAGATGCCAGCCAGGGCGGGGCCGGGGCCGCAGAGGGGAGACCATCTTCTCCCCCAGAACCCTGGGCTAGTTCATTTGCTTGAGGAAAGGTCCCCGGCTCCCACCCACTCAGAGCAGTGCTGGTCTCCAGCCCCTCCAGCCGTGGGTACGAAGCCAGCCCACATGGCTGGCCAGCCAGCCACGGCAGCCTTGCCTCCCAGAAGCTTCTGAGAGCTCTGCAGAGACCACAGGAAGTCACCCTCCCATGCACAGTGGCATTAGAAGCCCCTGCCCCAACCTTCAGAGCCCATCTGGGTTCTGGGGGTCTTCACATCCTCCTTCTGCTCCTTCTCACTGTCCACAGGGGACTTCCACAGCACAGGGCCACCAAGAGGCAGCGGGCAGCCAGACCTTCAAGTCCTACCCTGCCCTTCCCCACACAGTGACTTGGAAGCACCTGCCATGAATCCTCCCTCCCGCTGCCTCGGTGGTCTCATCTGTCCCTTGGGAATAATCAGATGCTGACGTCCCAACTGGCTGAGAGGTGCAAGGACGGGTACACATCGGACCGCGGGAAAAACGCTGAGAGCTAGCGGCACCGTGCGTGGAGTTAGCCCTGGGAGGTGCCCTCCTACCCATGGTCACCCCGTGCTCACCCCGCCTGCCACCAGCCTGTGACCGCCTGACAGAGCCCATTCCACAGATCCCCTGCCTCCCCACCCGTTTCCTGCAGAGTCTGGGACAGAAGCCACAGGCAGAGAGACCCAGGCAGCAGTGGGGCGGTATTCACCCTGAAGTCTTCAGGCTTCCCAAAATGAATAAATAAAAGGACCCCTCCCCATCTGTGCAAAAAAAATCATAATAAATGAAGATTGAGGAGATAAAAGCTCTCTGCCAAGCATCTGGATTGTCGAGGCAAATTCCCGGGCACTGGCGAGCCACCCCAAGCCCCACCTTGTCTCAGAGAGAGAGAGAGAGCCTCCTCGTAAAACGGAGCTGTCGGGGCTGTGTGCAAGGCGCGCTCGTCTGCAGAAACACACTCGGAGCAACCTGAGCTTGCAAAGGCTGCCGGCAGCCCCAGCCTCACCCCACACTCCCACTCACGCTTGAGGGGGCTTGGCTGGCCCCTCAGCTGTGCAGCCCTGCCCCCTCCCCCAGGGGGTTGGTGCAGGGGGGCTTCCACTCTGCACACGCCAGGCAGGGGAACACCCTCCCCGACCCCCCCACACCACACTGCCCTTCCAGACTGACTCTCCACAGACACCTGCCTGCAGAGGCCCCCAAAGGGACCTCCCCAGATAAGCAATGCAAACCCAGTCCCCACCAACCAGCACCTCCCAAACCAGGCTTTCCTTTCCGATGGCTGCAACCGGAGCACTTTCCAAAGTCACAATGACATCAAAAGCCCCAGCTCTGGTGAAGGGTGTTTTTTTGTTTTGTTTTGTTTTGTTTTAAGTTGCAAGCTGAGCCCAGGTCTGCACCTGCTGGACCAACCCCCGGGGAAGCAGCAGAGCGATTCTCCCAGCAAAGAGCAACGGGGCTCCAGGACTCCCGGCTTGCCTTGGAGACCCTTCATGGGGAGGTGTGCGGAGACTGAACGTGTGGCCAGCACCTCGAAGGGGAAGCCCACTCACCTCGCTCATGTTGGCTTCTCACACGGCTGCTCCGGGATCGGCACTTGCTGGCTGGCTGCTGGCTGGCCCGGCACGCACAGCTCCACGGCTCAGGCTCTCTCCTCCCTTCCTGCCTTTGCTCTTAAAAGGGGCTGCGGGTGGCATCACGCCTCGCGGAAGCCAATGAGAGCCCTTCACCTGTGTGCGGGCTGCCTGCCGGAGCTGAGAGCGGCGAGGCCACCTAGTGGAGCCCAGGCGCGGGGCAGGCCGGGTGCCCTCCGCCCTCCAGCAGCCAGGGAAGAAAATGCTGGATTCTCTGGGGGAGCAAGGGGGAGGGCTGGGGTGGGGGCCAGGCCTCTGCTGCTAAACCAAACACTACGTGGATGTGCGTTAACATTCCATCGTGGGTACCAGAGCCTTATGCATCACCGTAAAGCCATGTTTCTTCCATAAGAAAGTAGCAATTAAGGTGCGTTTTTTTTTTAATTAGGACTCATTAATATCAATAATGTAGCACCGTAGCACTGTCTTCCCGTTGTTCATCGATTTGCTCGAGCGGGCACCAGTAACGTCTCACAACAAATTGTGAGACTTGTTGTTACTGTTTTGGGCATATCGAATATATCACAGGTAGCTTGCCAGGCTTTGCCGTGCAAGCAAGAGACTCTCGGTAGCTTGCCGGGCTCTCCAAGAGGGGCAGAGGAATCGAACCCGGGTTGACCGCGTGCAAGGCAAACGCCCTACCTGCTGTGCTATGGCTCCAGCCCCAGTAATATCTATTATTATGTTGTTGAATCACCGTGAGATACAGTTACAAAGCTTTCATGGTTGAGTTTTAGTCATACAGTGATCGAACACCCATCCCTCCACCAGTGCACGTTCTCCGCCACCAATGTCCCTAGTATCCCCCTCTTTCCCACCCTCCACATGCCTCCATGGCAGACAATTTCCCCCATACTCTCTACTTTGGGGCATGCATTATGGTTTTCAACAGATACTGAGAGGCTCTTAGGGTCTCAGCAGCCAGCCTGAGACGTTGACCAAAATCCTGGCCCCATGAAAGCAAGAGCCAGCCCTATTTACAAGGGGCCCAGGGGCTTGCTCCAGCACTCCCCACAAGAAGGCACTCTCGTTGGGGATGAGGGACCTAACAGTTACCATCTGCCTGAGCTGATACACCTTGCCCCTGAGCATCACTGGGTTAGATGCCCCGAAGCCAAAATAAGACTCGAATCACAGAAAACCACCCAAGTCAGTGACACGTCATCTGGGGTGTCACGGTCCACTCAGTGACGGGATTGAGAGCTCAGGGGCCTGCACTTGGGGAAGAAGAAGCCGGCACTGAGTGCCCCACCCTGGTTTCTGGGGAACCATGGTCTCCCGCTCCTCTCAGGGCCACGCTTCTGCCCTTGTGCCCACCTCCTGCTGCACCCCATCGCCTGCCCGCTGGTCCTTACTCCCCACGCAGCCAGGGGTCCCTGACAGCCACCCCCTGTGGGGTCACAGAGGATGGCCTTGGCTCTGCCCCAGGGGGAGGGATCACCCCCAGCCTGGGCTGCCCTGCCTGTCCACCCTGAGCCTCCTCTGGCCAGAGACTCCAAGGCCTTGATGAGTTTGCGTGGCCACAGCATGCGGCATCTCCTCCCCCCGGCCAAAGCCCCCACTCCCACGGCTCCCCCCACATGCCCACGGGGACCCGGCCTGGTCACAGGGCTGCACATGACAACTGTCCCCCAAAGAGAGGACGCACAGGCAGCTGTCCCTGGCCGTAGCCAGGTGAGAAATTAGGGTGACTGTGTCGGGTCCCCCCCACCCCCCCCGTGCCCAGCTCCTCCACGACCTTGTTCCTCCCCCCAGCCCCCATCCCTTGTGCCTGACCTCTGACCTTCAAAGACATCCTTCTTTGGCCTTGCTGTTCTCAGGGCCACCCTCCCCCCACCTCCTTGGCCACGACAAGCTTGCATTCCTGCATAGTCTTCCTCACTGCCAGAGAACAGCCTCCACGGTGGTTCTGGGGTACAGTCCTCAGAGCCTGGGTCTCTGCAGAACCTTGGAGCCACAGTCACTGGCCCCCGAGCTGCTCCCGGACAGGCAGAACCTCAGCGAGCCTCCTGCTGGGTCCCCAGGAGGAGCCTGGGAGACAAGCAGCGCCCCTGGGTGGATTGTGGGTCAGCGGCCCCCACTCTCCTCACTGGCCCAGGAGAGGACACTGGGGGGGGCCTCACTGTCCAGGAGAAGGACACGGCGAGGAGAGAAAGTGTCCCCCTGGGCTCCCAACAAGACAAAGGTGGGAGTAGGGATCGTTGCAGAAGATCCAAGGTAGAGCACACTTTTCACCCATCTTCACGCCTATGCACATATGTATAAGCACACACAGCATGTGGACTCATGCAGGCAGGCACATGCGGCTCCCAAACATCACACATACATGTAAACATGTGCATTGCACATGCATGCACACATCCTGCACCCATGCACCATACGTGCACGCTCATGCATCACACATAAACATCACCAACATACATGCAACACACGACCACACTCACCCGTACCATGCATGCACATGCATATGAGCACATACACCATGCACATACATTGCATTCATATGAACAGACGCATCACATTCATACAACATGCTCCCAAGTCCCATGCATAGTCATGCATGCAACCACACACACACATTACATTCATAGGAACACATGCATCGCATATACACAACACATGCCCATGCCTCACATATACTCACGTGCATCTCAGAGACATATGCGCACACACACACACACACACATGCCACACACATGCATGACACAGACCCCCACGTCCATGTACAACATTCCTCCTGCCTCCCTTTGGTCTCCCTCCCCGCCTCCCAGGGTCTGTGGACAGGCTGGCCCTTCTGTCCACCCTTATTTAAGCAGCTTCACTCCTTGGATCAGCCCAGCAGAAAGGGGGGTCCCCAGGCCCCCCATGCCCCGAGTCGCTGGCTTCCACTCACCTATGAGGAATCTTCCTCCTCCTTTGCAAATGCGGAGATAATTAGAAGCTCCCCCTGCCAGCCTAAGCAAAAAAAAAAAAAAAACACACATGCACTACGCATATGAGCTGGGGCTAAATTTCTCAGAACTTCGGGGGATTGGGATCTACAGCTTCCTCTCTTAGATTGGGGGGGACACTGCAGTCTTGCTGAATTAAAATGCAGACACATGATTCTAGCATTCATAAAAAAAAAAACACACAAAGAATGCCAAGAGATTCTTTCCATCTTGTGGGAAGTGTGCTTCCTCCGGGAGGTGCGGGTTGGGCTGGGGGACCCTCCTTGGGGGCTCTGCCTGTAGAGAAGCACTCGGGCGTCTGCTCAGGCCTGCCATCCACATCCTGGTGTGAGATTTCAGGGGTGTGGGGACTTACGGCAGAACCCCACCTCTCACTCTGCATCCTCTACTTGTGCCTGGGGGCGGGGCAGCTCCCACAGGTGGGCACTGCCCAGACCAAACCCTGGGCCTGGCAGACATCAGGACAGAGGCGGGTGGTAGATCAGGGCCAGACCCTTGAGCACAGTTTCTCCTCACCCCACTTCTGCCCTCTCTGCTCCCAGGTGGGCACTAGCTTCAGTCCCTGGGGGTGCCCACCTCCCACTCCTGACCAGTGAGCACTGGGCACTCATGTTTTAGCCATTGGCACGTTCCTTCGGAGAATCTCAAACAGTTCCTTCCTCCAGCCCAGGAGCGCTGTGTTGGCCCAAGGCTGGGAGTCCCTGGCGACAGCCGAGAAACCACAGCCTCATCCCAGCCCCGACAACTGGGCAGATTCTGCCAGAGCAAAGCCTCATTCTCACTGCACGTCTCCAGGCTTGCGCCTCTGCCAGAAGGTTCAGGAAAGAGGCTTTGACCTTCCCTAGGATCTGCTGGCCCCGCCACCATGCCCGAAACCTCCACCTGCGGCAGTCAAGCTACTCAAATAAAGATGGTACTGTCCCTCTGTCTGCATGCATCTATGAAAAGAAAACTCTCGCTTTTATTTTTTTTTCTTTTGGGGTCACACCCAGCAATACTCAGGGGTTCCTCCTGGCTCTGCACTCAGGAATTACTCTCCCTGGCGGTGCTTCGGGGATCATATGGGATGCCGGGGATCGAACCCATATGCAAGGCAAACACCCTCCCCGCTGTGCTTTCACTCCAGCCTTGAAAACTTTTAGATAGCTAGAGCTACTTGCCAAGGCCAACAGTAAGAATCGCTCCTCTGACAGACTGGAGCAACAGTACAGTGGATGAGGGGCTTGCCTTGTGCACCGTCAAGCCGCTTCAGTCCCCAGCATCCCAGGTGGTCCGTGGAGCACCCCCAGGGCTCATCCCTGGGAACAAGCCCTGAGCACTGCCAAGCCTGACCCCCAAAATGGGAAACAAATCTCCACCTTTGAAAATGAGGAGGGACTAGAGCCATAGCACAGCGGGGAGGGTCTTTGGGTCTTTGCCTTGCACACAACTGACCATGGTTCGATTCCCCACATCCCATATGGTCCCCTGAGCACTTCCAGGAGCAGGAGTCATTCCTGAGGGCAGAGCCAGGAGTCACCCCTGTGCATCACCGGGTGTGACCCAAAAAGCAAAGAGAGAAAGAAAGAAAGAAAGAAAGAAAGAAAGAAAGAAGAGAGAGAGAGAGAGAGAGAAAGAAAGAAAGAAAGAAAGAAAGAAAGAAAGAAAGAAAGAAAGAAAGAAAGAAAGAGGAGAAGGAAGGAAGGAAGGAAGGAAGGAAGGAAGGAAGGAAGGAAGGAAGGAGGAGAGGGAGGGAGGGAGGGAGGGAGGGAGGGAGGGAGGGAGGGAGAGAGGGAGGGAGGGAGAGACGAAGGAAGGAAGGGAGGAAGAAAGGAAGGGAGGGAGGGGGGGAAGGAAGGAAGGAAGGAAGGAAGGAAGGAAGGAAGGAAGGAAGGGAGGGAGGGAGGGAGGGAGGGAGAGAGGGAGGGAGAGAGGGAGGGAGAAAGAGAGAAAGAGAGAAAGAGAGAAGAAGAAAGAAAGAAAGAAAGAAAGAAAGAAAGAAAGAAAGAAAGAAAGAAAGAAAGAAAGAGGGGAAGGAAG